GATCCCTGTGGTGTGTGCGTGTCAAAACGTGGTTGTGGTGCAAAGAGTGCGACGCTCGCAAGCAACTTCTGCGAGGAGCAGTGCACTCAAAATTGGACGCGACGTTTCCGCCCGGTGTACTTGGAGTCTGGCTTTGTCTGATGCCCCTGTCTCCTCCTCCTCTCCTTCTTCGAAATAACCCAGTCCTTATTCGACACGGCCTCCTGTGCCCTCCTCGCCCTCTTCCCGAGTCTCCTACTCCCTACCTTGACTTGGGAGTCCTCCTCAACGCCAAGTGGCTTCGGGGGGGCGACTCCCTTGGCCGGGGGCCCCGCCGTCAAGACGAGAAAATATTTTTTCGCTTTGGCACTATTCGGATAGTCGACCAAAAGGCCGCCGCTAAATCCGGCGCGCATGGCAGCGGCCGTGAGAAGCTCCACCTGAGCGACATTCTCTGGATAAAACTGGAGCACGGCTCTAGCGCTCTTCCGAAGGGCTGCGTAGAGCGTGGCGAAAAAGGCGTTCATCCTCTTCCAGGGATTGTGTTCGGTCCTATCGGCATTGCACAGCCACTGGATGGCGGAGACGGAGACGGCGCCATCGAAGCAGCCCATGCGGAACGGGACGCCATCGCCGGCGTCGGCGAGCATCAGATCGCCCGGCACGTCGTCGTCAAGGGCCTTCTGCAGCATGTTTTCCGACACGTCCGAGCCGACCCAGTGGTGGCCCTGGTCCGACAGAATGTTGCCGGCGATGCCGGTGCCCGTGCCGATGTCGAGAAGCAGGGCAGGGGGGCTGGGCGGGAGGGCTAGTAGCTCGAAGCAGCGCGTGGCCAGAGCCGTCTGGATTACCGACATGCGCGAGCTGGCAGCGTATTTCGCTGCGCCCTTCGCGGAGTAGAACTCCGTGGCGGGCGCCATGTGCTCCGGACGGCGGGAGGCCATGTTGGTGCGCGGGTGGGATGGATTGGGAAAAGTGTGATGGCGGAAGGCAAAGTGCAACTGGATTCTCAACGACGGAACGTTGTGGGACAATGTGACAACCGAAGTCTACGCCGCCGCCGGTGGACGGAGTTTGTTTCGATAGAAACACGCACCACACGTGTACAAGTGGCAGGAAGAGGAAGTACAGGTATATCGAACCAGGCACTGTAAGATAATGAGATTTACGGCTTTTTGCAGGCCACTCCCTTGCGCATCACTGCTCAGAAAGACCGCTCGCAGGACGCCATCACTCATACTTTGCATCTTCACTACAGACTCTGTAGTGAAGATGCAAAGTATAAGTACAAATAACAGAAATGCTTGATTAGACTTGAGTCTGTAGTACAAACTGTAGTACAGACTCAAGTCTAATCAAGCATTTCTGATATTTGTAGCTGCCGAGCCGTCGCATTGACTCCCCCCTTTTCGCAGCCATAAATGCCAGCCTACACTTTTGCAGATGTCCAATTGCATCATCGACCCTGCCTTTTTCCGCCATAGTCTCTATTCTAGTAAGCAACTGCATAATATCTTTCCGCGGCGGCAGCGGCTCTCGGGCAGTACGTCCATCCAACTGCCTTGCCTCTCTGGAGGCCCTTCGTTTTTGGCTCAAAATTCGTGCCACCCCTAGAAGGGTAGCACTATATCGGAGCTGGCACTAACAAAAGATGGCACTATATCACGACGCCCCCCTGTAGCTGTAATGTTGGGCGGACAACAGTGGAGTAGGAGGATGTGCACACGTGGCAGTACGGGAGGTGCAGTAGAGAAGGAGGATGCACACACGTGGCAGTAGTGGAGATGCAAACCAAACCGGATCACGCAAACCGGATCACGCAAACCGGAAGACGCAAACCGGAAGCCACAAACCAGAAGGCGCAAATCGGAAGACGAAAACCAGAAGACGCAAAGATGATGGCGAAAGGTTGCGGTGGAGCGCGTCTGTGGCGGACGGATTCGAGCAATTTTGATGCGGGAGCACTTGCGCGCGCAGGTGCAAAACATGCACTGACATGAAAACCGCATCACGTGACATATGCCTCCTCCCTCCCATTGGCCGTCTGGGATACTCCGTGAATCGCAGCGCCAATCCCGCCGCGCTCTGGCCCTCAACTGCCAACCTCCTATCTGTCGCGCATATTGATCCCCTCCCCCTCCTCGCCGTTTCTTATCTTTGATCGGAGTCACAGCCACCGACGGTCGGCCTTGCTCCCGCCTCCCGCCTCCCCCTCCCCCCCCCCCC